AAGGAAGGAAGGAAGGACAATAGGGAGAGAAGAAAGGATGGAAGGAAATAAGGAAGAAAGGACAGAGGGAAGGAAGGAATGGAAGGGAGAGAGGAAGGAAGGAAGGAAGGAAGGACAGACAAAAGGGAGAGATAGAAGGATGGAAGGAATGAGGGAAGGAAGGAAGGAAGGACAAAAGGGAGAGAGGGAAGAAAGGAAGGAAGGAATGGAAGGGTGGGAGGGAAGCTACGCACTTACATCAAGTAAGTCTGTCGGTCTGGTGCGGACAGGCCTCTTTCTTCTCTTCTACTCCCTTCAAACGGATTCCCAAAAGATCTTTTCCTGATCATGGATTTTACCAGGATCTGAGAAGAGAAGATATTTCCGCATTTACGTCAAGCCGTCCTCAAATCACAACTTTCATGTCCTTGGAGATCTCTCGTGTTTATTGTCATTATTCAATATATCAATTCAGAGGATCTTTCCAAGATAGAGAGGTAAATGCCTTTCACCTACGATGAAAAAACTTCCCAAGGAGGGAAGCCAACTCCTGCTCTCAGGGATCTTAACAAGCCAGAAATAGACCCAAAGGGAAGGGATAAATGTGGCACAAGTATTTCTGAAAAAGACTCTCGATTTTAAAAGAAAGGTGAAGACTGCGTTACGGTGAAATTAAAAACAAGGCAGTGGGTAACTCTGTCAAAGAATGGCAGATAAAATCCAGAATTATTGGGGAGTTTGGCTTGGCTTAGGATTTTCTTAAAAGTTGCATCCACTTCTCTGCACACAAGAGCCCTTTTGTGCATTAACAGGGTATACAGATAGTCCTGGACTGTTCATTTAGTGACTGTTCCAAGTTACAATGGCACTGACTTAACGACTGTTTTTCACCCCGTGGTCACGTGACCAACATTCAGAAGCTTGGCAGCTGGGTCCTGTTTATGATGGTTGCTACGGCGTTGTAACTTGGAACGGTCACTAAATGAACCACACTCTTGAGAACAACCAGGCAGCCTTCATCAATCTCTTGCACAGGGTAAATGTAGAATTCGGCCAGCTGAGTCTATTATTCCCATTTGAAGCTCTTAGTCAGCCCTCCGGCTCTCCGCAGAGGCCAATAATGGTTTAATGGCAAAAGCCATTACCGAAATTGGAGATGATTTGAAAGACATCGGATCGACGCTCCCCAAAGGCTGGCGGTGCGCCAACTGCGGGATGGGATATCGGGAGCCCACTCACCACGGTGGCTAAGCTGGGGATGTGCTTGATCGAGTTCTCCACCTCTTCTTCCGTCACCTCGATGAGCGTGCAATTTTCATCTTCGGTGGGCAGCGGTTCGGTGCCATTCTTGGTGACCCACACATGCAGCTGGGGGCACGGATAAGGTGGGGGGGGGAGAGGGAGGGAGGGAGGGAGAGACAAGCGTTAGCAGCTCGTTTCAGAAAAGCGCATTGTAACGACGAACGAATATAGATACGGAAAAGCGAGGCAGTGAAATGAAGTTAAAGAAGGAAAAAAGAAAAAAATAGAGGAAAAAAATACCGTCCTAAGGAGTACGGCGCTTTGGCACATATTAAAACTTCCCGTCTCCACTACATTTAGTCTCTACTGTTCTCAGGAAAGTGAGGCTGGCCATGAAGTTACCTTAATTTCTGGGATGGTGATCCTGAATTCGGGTTTTTTATCCAGCATCTGGGTTATTAGATCCTTCAGCTCGTCAGAAATGTCTGGTCTTGGATGAGAAAGAGAAAGAGGAAGAGGAAGAGGAAGAGGAAGAGAGGAAGAGAGAGAGAGAGAGAGAGACAGAGACAGAGAGAGAGAGAGAGAGAGAATTTATTTCTGCTTGCCCCTCAAAGGAGGTCAGGCTCAATAACTTGAATTGTGATTGTGATCAGAAACACGGCCTTCCTTCCTCCCCCAGATCTGAGCTGATACGGTTCTTCCCAGGGGTGCTGAGAATTTGTAACGCCCCTAAAAGCATCAGTGCATCTATTTAATGTGGGATCCAGCCATACACCCCCCCCTCATCCCTGTTGAGCGTGGAAGGGGCCCTTCCCAGAATTCAAAGGGCCGTTTGCAAATTGGGAGTCGCCTTGGTCACCCCTTGATTCTGCAGGAGGTTGCAGGATTCTTACTTACTGGTCCGGAAATTCCAGCATTTGGCTCTTGATTTTGCTGTGCAGACTGAGGATCCGCTCATCCATAAAAGGACACTGGGAAGGATAAGAATATCCCAGAGAGATATTATGGGCTGGCACAGATTATGGAAGGATAGAGGAGAAAGGGGGCTGGGTTCCCCTTCGAATCGCACTGCGTGGGTGTGACAAAAACAGTTCTACGACAACCTGAACCACAATTGGGTCACCTACAAAAGGGTTGAACACCACATTCCTGGGGTGTATTGATCAGTTGTGGTGAGGGAGCTGCCTTGCTCCATAAAAAAAGGCATATTAATCACAACAAACTAAAAAAAAAGTGTATTTTCATGGAGTTAACAAAACTAGATTAAAAGCTACACGTTCTGCAATCTTGCCTGCTTGCAGAATTGTACGCGGAAACGCATTCGAGTTTTTAGCACATTGTTTTTCTAAAGGAATTTCAGCCTCGCAGGGGAATTGGACAACTCAAAGGAGTGGGAAAATGAGAAAACCACAATTGAGAGAGCCACTCATTTATGCTCGACTTAATTTCCATTATTAAGAGGCTTGGATTCTCTAGACTGGATGCTTTCTTTAGCCTGGCATTAGACCAACGGAAAAACTGGCGAAGAGATAGAAAATGAGGTTTGATTACCTGTCCGAAGACAAAACAGTACAGTGTGATTCCCATTGCCCAGACATCTAAAGCCTTGGAGAAGGAAGGAAGGGAGGGAGGGAGGGAGGGAGGGGTAGAGACAGAGAGGGAGAAAGGGGGAGAGAAGGGGAGGAGAAAATGCGGGACGTGGGCGGAGAGAGAGAGAGACAAAACATTAGCTTTTAAAAATGCTTGCTCTTTGCATTATTATCATTTATACTACCATGAACTGGATGATATTTGGCCTCTTTATACAAGCAATGTCTCTATTCCACTCACTTTCCAAGGCTGGCATAAATTATTATTATACTGACATATAAAACCAGTTCTACGTGGAGATAGGGGATCTGCCATAAGATTTAGTGATCTGCCTTAAGTTGATCCTAAGATCAGACAGCTTCATAGTTGAGGCACAGACACAAATCCCCAAGCCGCCGACTCACCTTAAATCATGGCTAGGCTCACCTATTGTGCTACTTTAAGGTTTGTTTTAACCAAACTTTTAACTATGGTTAGGATTTACACAAAACACCCTCAGCCAAAAATGGCAGATTTACGTCGGTTTGTTTTAGGCCAGGTTTGCAGACCATGTCATCTTGATTTATAATCCAGTTCTAAAAACCTTTTCATTTCCTACCCGATGCTAGGAAAAACACGCCAAGTTGGGAACACGCATGCTGTTTGCCGTTCCCTCCGCTTACCTTTCCTGAAAATATTTTTCTGGTTTCAGAGAGCGTCTCTGGGGCCATAAATGCTGGCGTGCCCACCGTGTTGGTTAAGAGGGCGTCCGATCCTTTGAATTCATTGCTCACGCCGAAATCGGCAATTTTGATGTGACCGTCCTCTCCCACCAAAAGGTTGGATGGTTTAATATCCCGGTGGATAATTTTTTGGTAGTGTACTGTGGAGAAACGTTTACATGTGAGATGTTCAACTTCTTCTGGTGTCTGGTTTGCAAAATAAGGATGAGGGAGCGACGAGAGGCTACACAGAACAAGGTGACTCTTTGTGGGTTCAAAAGATGCCATCTCCCATCTTCCAAAGCCCAGCCTTGGGACAGAAAAAAGGCTCTCGCACTCAAGTCTGGCTTGGTGCTGAGCTGTGTGTGTGTTTTTTTATTTTACACACTCACAATATTCAATGCCTTTGATCAGGTCTTGGAAATAGAATCGTGCCTGGTCTTCAGTTAGAGGTCTCAGGTTGGGAACTTCCATCACTGGCCTGCAAAGGGTAAAATAAACGTCAGAATCGGGGGGCAGTTTGGATGGAAGAGAAGCAGACTTTAAATTAGGGAGTAGCAGCCTTTCCTTGAGTCCATAAACACCTGATACCTACAGTTTTTTATTTCCTCAGAAGCAAAACAATCGGCTAAACAGGCAACGCTGGCGTGGCGTTCAATTGTAAAGCATGGATTTGCTCACCCCGTCGAGCCAAAAATATACAAACCACCTTACGGCTGGTGCAAAGTGTGGGCCGTCGTGGTTTCTACAAGTCATAGTAAACGTGGTTAGTTCAGGGCTCCAACAAGCAGAGACAGCTGTTGCCAAAAATTGTGAGTCATATTGTAGTCCTCGTAGGGAAATAAAGAGCTTTTAAAAGAGAAAATCTATGGCAGTGTTTTTCAACCTTGGCGACTACAAAATGTGTGGATTTTAACTCCTAGAATCCTCCAGCCATTAAGATGTATAAACTCCAGTTCCCAGAATTCCCCATGAGTGGGAATGTGGCTTCGGTGGCTGTGGAGGAAACTGGGGAAGGGCACAGTCCAGCTGGGCATTCAGAGGAAGACCCAGGCCCACCCTCTCTTCATCCTAGGGCACGCAGGGAGGAATGGAGAAGGGAGCAACATGGGTTATGGGGGAGAAAAAGGCCCTGATTCCCTTCATTAGCTGCAGCTGGGAAAACAAGATATAAAGGGTGTTTGCGCACAGCACCTTCCTGGAAGCAAAACCTGCATTATCTTTGTTTGTCAAGTCTTATCTGGGTTCTGGCATCCTCCCAACTGTGTGTGTTTCGTTATCTTTTGAAGTCTGCAATTCCTTATCCTGCCCTGTCTCGTTAATTGCTGCAGTTGTGGTTTGTGTTGTTTTTTATTGATAATTTATATGTACTTTGGGTTCGGACTGAATTTCTTCCCTTTAAAAACTGTTCTTGGGAGAGTTTTTTTCTCCAGCCGATGATCACTGGACATTGGGGGGGCCAAGCTGGAGAAATTAAAGGGACTTTACCTACTTTTGTGACTTCGTTGCTTTTGTGCCCACGCCCCTTTGGGTCATCACACATTTCTCCCCTTATTCTATAATGCAACATGTACACTATTAGTTTAAAATGATGAAAACAATAATCATCTTACCCTTTTTTCACAAGTTCGAATACTGAAATGCAAAAAAAGAAAAAAGAAAAAAAGAGGCAGGCCATTAATTATAAGGAGAAACATTTACATAAGAAAAACATCCCAGATAGTTGACTGGGTCAATCAAACCCTTTGGCACAGTTCCTATATGATCTATTCAGCCCCTGGTTGATCTACTTAAAAGTCATGACGAGTTGGTCAGCAAGTCAATCGTTGGGGGAGGAGTAGCTAGGCAGGGTGGGCCTATATGAAGGGGTTCAAATCCCTCCTGACTTCTGATAGAGGAGCGGCCGGAGGGAATAAATACACACCTGGCTGCCTGAGCCAAGAATTGTGTTGGGCTCCAAAGTCAAATTTAATTAGGGAAACAGCAACACGCAACAAACACCAGATGGCACGAGGAGGGATAGAAATACGGAAGGGCCGTTTGCCACTTATTTTTGTCTTGCTTCCATCTGGAACCGGGCCCCGGTGTAGGAAGCGTGTTGGAGAGGCTGCCCTGCAGAGTGTCGAATGCAGCTTTTCTCTCATCCACGCTGAATCCTCGGCTAGGCTGGATAAAGGAAGGCGGTGCCGCAAACAGCCTGTCCTTTCAAACCAAGGTTAAGGCAACAATCTGGGTTTCAGTTTTGGACCCTCAAAGCAGGAATTCCAGATGAGTTTTGCCTTTTTCCTTTTCCAGATCCACCGTAGTATTTAGAGCAGTGTTTCTCAAGGTGGACTTCATTTCCCAGAATTCCCCAGCCGGCATAGGAATTTGGGGAAATGAAGTCCACCTGTCTTTATTTATTTTTTTAAAATAAACTTTACATTTTATTACATTAAAAACAAAAATATATTTGTGGTGCTTATCATATAACAATCATTTGTGCAATATTTACAGGTGTTAATTTGTACATAATTATATTCTTATTCTATCTACATTTAATAATTACCTATCCTTAATCTGCCTCGGATCTATCCAGCTCTACCATTGTTTCCATACCTTATAAAATATTGAAGCTTCCTTATCTTTTAAACTCAGCGTTAATTTATCCATTTCAGCACAATTCATAACTTTTTGTATAACCAGTTCCTCTGGGTTATATGTGGCTGTTTCCAACATTGGGTAACCTGGCAGCAATCAATATGTGTAATAATAAGTATTTTGTGCTTTTTACATATTTTTTTTTTAAAGATCCTCAATAGGAAGAAGTCCACCTGTCTTTAAATGGCCAAGCCTGGAATCTCTGCTTTAGAGCAACGCACCAACAAGGGTTGCAAACAAGATCTATAACCCTTATGAAATCTTGGGATCCTTCGCCCCTTCAAGGTTGAAGACAAGCCAGAAGGAATGCAACCTTTGGGGGGCAGAAGAAACTCTATTCCCTCCCTTTTCGGGGTATCAAATGAAAGACAGAATACAATGGCTTACCCATGTATAAGTGATCTTCGGTGGGGTCATCCAGTACCTGCCAGCAACGAGGAAGACAAAACGGGATAGTGGATCTTAGCTACACTCATGCCATGAAATTCCCCTAGTAAACATAGATTGGAATGTTGGAAAAAGAAACTTCTCACTAACTTCTGCCCAATCTTTCTGGTGGCTGAAGTGGGTCCAGAATGGAAACCTATCCGCTCACCCACTTCTCCTGTGAAATGCCACCAGACTGGCATGCGATACCCCAACGCTACAGGCACATTCTGGAAACACACCTGCTGCCTCCAGTTTCAAGGTCAGCCTCACCTCCACCAGCTTGACAATGTTTGGGTGGTCCAGCTTCTTCAAGATGGCGATCTCTTGGTAGACCTGCTCAATGGGTCCTCTGGGTTGGCAGAAGCCTTCCAGGGGCAGTTTTGCGCCCCGGGGAGGAGGCCGGCCTAAGGGAGAAGATACGGAGGTGATGAGAAGGGGGAGGGGAACCTACCTGGGGTCAGTGCCAATGTCCAATTATCCTCAGCTGGAAATCAAACTCTTAAAGAAAACAGTTTACGGAGTGCGTAAATGCAGCCCGCACCCAAAGTAAAGTTAATTCGAAATAAAAAACTAAACATAAACCACACTGAAGGAGTTAGTAAAGTAAGCACGTAGATTATTAATTGCTGACTTCTATCAGATAACGCAGCCACCCCAGTTGGGAGGAAGCCAAAACATTGATAAGCTCTGACAAGAATAAAACACATTTTGCTTCCACTACTGGGCCACGTGCAGTTTGTCCTTGTAAACAGTCTTCACAACTGCAGCCCATGAAGGGGATCAGGGCCTCTTCCTTCCCCGTAGACCACGCCATTCACGTTTCTCCCTTATCCTCTCCTCCCTGCATGCCCTAGGATGAAGAGCGGATGGGCCTGGGTCTTCCTCTGACTTGTGCCCTTCCTCAGTTTCCTCCACAACCTCCAGAGCCACACTTCCATTCCCTGTCGGCTGTTCTTCCTCTCCCTCCGAGTCAGATTTCAACAGGGGCATGACAGGTTTGGTCAGCCTTAGAAGGTAGACCAGGCAGGAAAGACCACCAGGGGAGCAAATTCTATTTTACAGTAGCAGAAATGTGCAAGTCTAAAAGTGCCATTCTCCCATCCGCCGTCTCCTTTACAGCCTGAGAAACTAGAGTCTCTTCTGAGCTTCTTTCTCCAACCATTATGTAGCTGAGGGCTAGGCTGTCTCTTATCTAAGTGTCCTCCCAAGGCCATTCCCACATGCCATTAACAAGCTTGGATTGAGGATGGTAAAGCAGAGACCATCCCTATCGGGCCCAACAAATTGCTTTCTTCCCTTCACGCCCTTACCTCACCCCATTACCGCCGTCTGCACATCCCAACTTACGTGGGAAGCCTGCTTGTCTCATCAGCTTCTTCTTCGAAAGCACTTTCATTGCCTGCAGGAGGCAAGGAGATTGTGTTGAGTTGCTGGGGAACCAAACAACTTTGCAACGCAACCCCAAAATTAACTGCTGGTTGCTCCAAAACGGTTTTCAATTTGAGTTCTACACTGCTTGCTCTTTCTAGGGTATTCTAGCTCTGCACTGCAAATTATTCTAGGAATAAAAAAACCGACACACAGGATTAAATAAAATTAAATTCCGGTGTTGTGCAAAAATTACGGATTCTCCCTTATCGAAACTCATTGCTTAACACCACCCTCTCTTCTCCTTCCTTCAGTTCAAAAACTTCCTTCTTTTTTCTTAGGCTGAACCGACTCAATCCGTGGCAGCTGATGAGTGCTTACTCACATAGTAAGTGTTGTCATCTTCATTGTACGCCAGCTTCACAACACCGTAGGAGCCCTGTGTAAAAAAAAAAAAACACCACGCACACACACACACACACACACAAACGGTAGGTGAAGAAAACAGGAGGGAAACAAGAGTTTCCCTAAATGTTGCTGGAATGATTGACAAGTTCTTTTCTACTGGTATGTTTATTTACAGAGGCAGAAGGTCAGACGGCGTCCACCCCAAATACGCAACAGCTATGCAAGGACCTGTGTGTGTGTGTGTGTGTGTGTGTGTGTGTGTGTGTGTGCGCGCGCGATTACCTTTCCAATTTCATCCTTCAGAGTGTATTGATTGAGCTGCACACAATCCTGAGAAAGATAAAAAACAGGAGCAGAATGAACGACCAACATCGATAGCAAAACAACCTGCCATTAAGCCACAATTCTTTCTCTTCCTCCCCCTTGGGGATCATAAAACCTCCTCCATTCGCACAGTGAAGTTACTGCTACTTGTTTCCATAGAAGCCACCAACATGTGGTGTGTGGGTGTGAGTACACACACACACACACACACACGCACACACATAAACAGAGGAGCATCTGCCAGGGATGAATTGCCCAGGACTCCGGCTACTGTTATTCCCAACCTTGACTTCAAAACAACTTGGAAGACATTCAGCTGCCTATGTTTAACTTGTGCACTTATAACCTGATTATTTATATTTTTATATTGATATTTGTTTAGACTTGCAGGTCGCCCTCGAATTACAACCACAAGGGAGCCCAAGGTTTCTGTTGCTAAGCGAGGCGTTTGCTGAGTTGGAGAAGCTGGATTTGGCTTAGCAACGGCGTGGTTAATTTAACAGCTGCAGGGATTCCCTTAACCCATGTGGTGAAGAAAAGCCGCAAAATGGTCCAAAACTCACTGAACGAATGTCTCACTTAGCAAGGTAAATTTCGGGCTCTGTTGTGGTCTAATGTCTAAGATGGATATCTTAGAACTGTCATTTGTGACAGGTGGACAGATGGACATCTTAGAATCGTCATTTGTGACAGATGGACAGATGGACATCTTAGAATCGTCATTTGTGACAGATGGTCAGATGGACATCTTAGAATCGTCATTTGTGACAGATGGACAGATGGACATCTTAGAATCGTCATTTGTGACAGATGGACAACTGTGTCAATGTTCTCAGTAAATAAATAAACATAAAATGAATATATTTGCTCGATATGTTTCCTCCTTTGATAGCTGGGAAGAACCAAGAACCAAAAAAAAAAAAAAATGGCAGAAAGAGAAATAGGGGTTTCCAAGCCCCCAGACCTTTCAGCCTTTGGGAACAACTCTGCAGTTTTAAGGATCCTGGGAGAAGAAGAAGAAAAATAGCCCCCAGTCCAGAAATGCATTGGACGCTACTCTTCTTCTGCTTGACGCAGAGGAGCTAATGCACTTTTTGATCATCCGTTCTTTGCTTAAAATGCAGTGGGCTTAATTGGAAGGGAAGTGCTCGAGAAAGCCTCAGGCGCTCCTCCTGCCAACGGTCAAAGGTGTGGCTCCACTCACCACTACCTGGAGCCTTAATGGCAGAAGATACATTGCCTGCAAGGTCTCGGAATCAATGTTTGCCAACCTCGGCAGCTTTAAGAGATGTGGACCAACTCTCAGAATTCATCAGCTGGGTTTCTTTTCTGTTTTTCTATCTTTCTTGCTATCTTTCTTTCTTTTTCTTTCCTCCTTTATTTCCTTTCCCTTCCTTCTTTCCTTCCTTCCATTTAATCCACCCATCATCCTATCTTCTATCTATCTATCTATCTATCTATCTATCTATCTATCTATCTATCTATCTATCTATCTTTTATTTATTATCTCATCTATCTATCTATCTCTTTTATTTATTATCTCTATCTATCTATCTATCTCTTTTATTTATTATCTCTATCTATCTATCTATCTATCTATCTATCTATCTATCTATCTATCTATCTATCTATCTATCTATC